CAGGATGGGAGGGTGGGAGGCAGGGCACAATATTATGGGAGGCTGCTGTGACTGTGGAATTAGTGCTTAGGGGGGTGGTGGCTATGGAGTGAGGTTCGTTTCTGTTTACTGTGTTTGGTTGATATGTGGTGACAGGGGTTGAGAGGTTTCTGTAAGCATTTGTGTTTGATGTTCCCCCAAAGGCTGAGTTTTCCTGTCTGTCATTGCCTGTCCTGTCTCTCTTTCCTTCCACTGGTTCTGTCTTGCTCTCACTTTCAGTTGTTCCCTTTCCTTCCGTGTTCTGTCTCGATTGAGGAACACGTTTTGATAATCTGGAGAGTCCTTTAACAGTGGTTTCTGTTGTAGTATCCTGTTCCGTACCACATCTGTCTTGAATGTCACTCTGATTGGTAAATTTTTTTCCCTTGAATACCCCCCCCCCCAAGTCTGTGAAAATTTTCTACCTGAGACATGTCCCTCTCTCCTGTTATTGCAATGATGTTCTTAATCTCTGTTTTCTCCCAATGCTTTCTTTCATCATAGGTCTGCCCTTCAGCCTCCTGAAGCCCATGAATAATTATTGATCTCTCCCTCTCCTCTTCCCATTTCTTTTCTCTCTGTATCTCTGGATCTGATTTAAGCATCTTTGCTGTTTCCCTAATCATCTCCCAGACACCATGATGGCCTGATATTACTTCTGCAAAAGACTGCTTTGATCCATCCCCTCCTTCAGTCCCCTCGCTGCCTGCTGATGTTCCCATTTCAGTCATCTTGCTCCTTTCGGACCTCATCTTTAGATCCTGCTTCAGCACATCCATTTCTTTCTCCAGTCTCTGTATCTTTGCCTGAGCTACTACAGCTCGTGATTCCCACTTCTTGCTCTCTGCAGATATTTGCTCTAACATGTTATTGCAAAGCTCGTTTAACCTTTTCTCCCATTGTTGTTCCATTTTGTTCTTGAGCCGTTCTACCCATTCTTCCTTTTCCGACCAGCCATCATCGGTTCCCTTGCCTTTACGTCCTCTCTTTTGAGAGCCCATTTTGTTTTTATCCTGTTGGGATGTTCTAGCTGCTTCACCTTATCGTTAAAATGTGTGTGTGTGGTGGGGGGATTTATGAGCTAATGTGTTTGGTTAGGTTAGGTTTGTGTGTGTGTGTGCATGTGTGTGTGTGTGTGTGTGTGTGTGTGTGTGTGTGTGTGTGTGTGTGTGTGTGTGTGTGTGTGTGTGTGTGTATGTATGTGTGTGTGTATGTGTGTTTGTGTGGGTGTGTATGCGTGTATGTGTGGGCGTGTATGTGTGTGTGTGTGTTTGTGTGGGTGTGTATGCATGCATGTAGGTGTGTGTGTGTGTGTGTGTGTGTGTGTGTGTGTGTCTGTGTCTGTCTGTCTGTCTGTCTGTCTGTCTGTTGTGTGGTGTGTCTGTGTCTGTCTGCGTCGCATCTTACAACACGCATGGCTTACGGAAGAAGAATTCTGTTCCACTTATCCATGGAGATATTGGAAATAAACAAGAACTAGAAAGAAAATGGAAGAAAACCCAGATGGGTGTGTATATATATGCTTGTACATGTTTGTGTAGTGTGACCTAAGTGTAAGTAGAAGTAGCTAGACATACCTGAAATCTTGCATGTGTAAGAGACAGAAAAAAGGACACCAGCAATCCTACCATCATATAAAACAATCACAGTCTTTCGTTTTACACTCACTTGGCAGGACGGTAGTACCTTCCTGGGCAGTTGCTGTCTACCAGCCTACTACCTAGATATAAATATACGTACGTATATATATATATTTTTTTTTAACAAGTCGGCTGTCTCCCACCGAGGCAGGTTGACCCAAAAAGAAAGAAAATCCCCAAAAAGACAATACTTTCAATCATTCAACACTTTCACCTCACTCACATATAATCACTGCTTTTGCAGAGGTGCTCAGAATACAACAATTTAGAAGTATATACGTATAAAGATACACAACATATCTCTCCAAACTGCCAATATCCCAAACCCCTCTTTTAAAGTGCAGGCATTGTACTTCCCATTTCCAGCTAGATAAAAATAACCAGTTTCCCTGAATCCCTTCACTAAATATTACCATGCTCACACTCCAACAGCTAATCAGGTCCCAAAAACCATTCATCTCCATTCACTCCTATCTAACATGCTCACGCACGCTTGCTGGAAGCCCAAGCCCATCACCCACAAAACTTCCTTTATCCCCTCTCTCCAACCCTTTCGAGGACGACCCCTACCCCGCCTTCCTTCCCCTATAGATTTATACGCTTTCCATGTCATTCTACTTTGATCCATTCTCTCTAAATGACCAGACCACCTCAACAATCCCTCTTCAGCCCTCTGACTAATACTTTTATTAACTCCACATCTCCTAATTTCCACACTCCAAATTTTCTGCATAATATTTACACCACACATTGCCCTTACACAGGGCATATCCACTGCCTCCAACCGTTTCCTCGCTGCTGCATTTACAACCCAAGCTTCACACCCATATAAGAGTGTTGGTACCACTATACTTTCATATATATCTTTCTTTCAACACACCGGCCGTATCCCACCGAGGCAAGGTGGCCCAAAACGAAAAACGAAAGTTTCTCCTTTTACATTTAGTAATACAGTGGACCCCCGCTTAACGATCACCTCCCAATGCGACCAATTATGTAAGTGCGTTTGTACGTGTATGTTTGGGGGTCTGAAATGGACTAATCTACTTCACAATATTCCTTATGGGAACAGATTTGGTCAGTACTGGCACCTGAACATACTTCTGGAATGAAAAAAATATTGTTAACCGGGGGTCCACTGTATATACAGGAGAAGGGGTTACTAGCCCCTTGCTCCTGGCATTTTAGTCACCTCTTACAACATGCATGGCTTACAGAGGAAGAATTCTGTTCCACTTCCCCATGGAGGTAAGAGGAAATAAACAAGAACAAGAACTAGTAAGAAAATAGAAGAAAACCCAGAGGGGTGTGTATATACTATATGCTTGTACATGTATGTGTAGTGTGACCTAAGTGTAAGTAGAAGTAGCAAGACGTACCTGAAAACTTGCATGTTCATGAGACAGAAAAAAGGACACCAGCAATCCTACCATCATGTAAAACAATTACAGGCTTTCGTTTTACACTCACTTGAGTGTCTCAAGTGAGTGTCTCATGAACATGCAAGGTTTCAGGTATGTCTTGCTACTTCTACTTACACTTAGGTCACACTACACATACATGTACAAGCATATTATATACATACATACCCCTCTAGGTTTTCTTCTATTTTCTTTCTAGTTCTGTTCTTGTTTATTTCCTCTTATCTCCATGGGGAAGTGGAACAGAATTCTTCCTCCGTAAGCCATGCGTGTCGTAACAGGCGACTAAAATGCCGGGAGCAAGGGGCTAGTAACCCCTTCTCCTGTATATATTACTAAATATAAGAGGAGAAACTTAAATTTTTTCTTTTGGGCAACCCCGCCTCGGTGGGATACAGCCAGTGTGTTGAAAGAAAGAAAAGATATATATACAGTGGACCCCCGGTTTACGATCAGCTCCCAATGCGACCAAATATGTAAGTGCATTTATGTAAGTGAGTTTGTATGTGTATGTTTGGGGATCTGAAATGGACTAATCTAATTCACAATATTCCTTATGGGAACAAATTCGGTCAGTACTGGCACCTGAACATACTTCTGGAATGAAATAATATCGTAAACCGGGGGTCCACTGTATATATATACATGTATATATGTACATATATACACACACACACACACACACACACACACACACACACACACACACACACACACACACACACACACACACACACACACACACACACACACACACACACACACACTCACACACACTCTGGTATTTGTGAACGACATGACGGAAGGAATAGACTCTGAGGTGTCCCTGTTTGCAGATGACGTGAAGTTGATGAGAAGAATTCACTCGATCGAAGACCAGGCAGAACTACAAAGGGATCTGGACAGGCTGCAGACCTGGTCCAGCAATTGGCTCCTGGAGTTCAATCCCACCAAGTGCAAAGTCATGAAGATTGGGGAAGGGCAAAGAAGGCCGCAGACGGAGTACAGTCTAGGGGGTCAGAGACTACAAACCTCACTCAAGGAAAAAGATCTTGGAGTGAGTGTAACACCAAGCACATCTCCTGAAGTGCACATCAATCAAATAACTGCTGCAGCATATGGGCGCCTAGCAAACCTCAGAACAGCATTCCAACATCTTAATAAGGAATCGTTCAGGATCCTGTATACCGTGTACGTTAGGCCCATATTGGAGTATGCGGCACCAGTTTGGAACCCACACCTAGCCAAGCATGTAAAGAAACTAGAGAAAGTGCAAAGGTTTGCAACAAAACTAGTCCCAGAGCTAAGAGGTATGTCCTACGAGGAGAGGTTAAGGGATATCAACCTGACGACACTGGAGGACAGGAGAGATAGGGGGGACATGATAACGACATACAAAATACTGAGAGGAATTGACAAGGTGGACAAAGACAGGATGTTCCAGAGATTGGACACAGTAACAAGGGGACACAGTTGGAAGTTGAAGACACAGATGAATCACAGGGATGTTAGGAAGTATTTCTTCAGCCACAGAGTAGTCAGCAAGTGGAATAGTTTGGGAAGCGATGTAGTGGAGGCAGGATCCATACATAGCTTTAAGCAGAAGTATGATAAAGCTCACGGTTCAGAGAGAGTGACCTAGTAGCGATCAGTGAAGAGGCGGGGCCAGGAGCTATGACTCGACCCCCGTAACCTCAACTAGGTGAGTACAACTAGGTGAGTACACACACACCCCCCTCACCGAGGAAGCAAACTGCCATCTAGGAATGGCTATGGTTTGTTGTGTTTATCAGCACCTCAGGTACTGCTATAGTTTACCTTTATGCTTTACTTGCTGTACAGCTGGTAAATAGTAAGAATGCACTTATTTTCAATTTCCTTCTTCTCTGAAGCACCAAACTGCTGTGCTTAATGCCATGGCATTTTTTTTTTCCCTCCAGTCTGCAGACTCTTTGGACATGGCAATGCTGACAACCCCCACCTGTATGGAGAGCTATGACAAAATACTTTCCTTCATTGAAGAAAAGATTTCTTATAAAGAAGTTCTTCCTGACAACAAGCAACTGTCTGTGAGGGTTTCTCAAATCTGCAAACAGAAGAAGCTGACTTATGTTCACATGAAGGTTAGTCATGGAAAATTTTGTATAATAATAATACAGCTAACCCTCTACTTTCGCCAGCTTCGAACACTTGTAAATGCCCAGCTACCCAATATTTTACCAAGTTTTCATGTGTTTTATGATTGTTCGTTATTCAATAGGTTAAGGAAGCAGTACAGGAGGGCCCCACTTATACGGCGGGTTAGGTTCCAGGCTACCGCCGTAAAGCGGAAACCGCCGTTAAGTGGAACACCCTTTTTTTCCACTTACAAATGCATACAAACACTAGATAACAAGTTTACACTAACATATATTATGTTAGCAATAGAACCAGGCATCAAAAAAACAATAAAAAAGTACAATACACACATAGTGCACTCATTACTTACCTTAAAATATTTAGTCTTAATCTAGGGTGAGACAAGTAGTATTTATTGTAAGAAATCAAGTGTGGTATGTATGGTAGTCAGCCAGGCTACCAAACCAGGCCACCCCACCCACACATACTATTCTATGATATTTAAGCATCCCAGAGCGATAAAATGTATATACAGTTCACTCATTACTTACCTTAAAATATAGGGTGAGATGAGTAGTATTTATTGTAAAAAATCAAGTGTGGTATGTATGGTAGTCAGCCAGGCTACCATACCAGAGAGAAAGAATGAGTGCATGAGAGAGGACAGGCGCAGAGTTATGTAAACAAACCAGGCGAAGGTAAGTTTTGTAAACAGTGTACACGTCTGGTTTGTGTACAAGTTACATATTGTACAGGTTGTCTCTACATTGATACGGTAGAATAAATAAAGAAGAACACTCCCATTCTCATGTAACATCATTTTGAGAAGAAATGATGCTCTGAGTGAAGGCAATGGAAGTAAGTCACTCTTGACTTTTTTGGGTTATCCTAGGTTCTCTACACATATGTTGTTATGTATTTATGTTATGTATCGTGTTTATTATATAATTTTGAAAAAAATATCACGGATGGATTAATGAAAATGTGTATATTAACGTAATATACAACATTTAATGATACACCGAGCTCAGACAGCGTAAACAAACAAACTGAACAGGTTGTGGACGATCACTCGGTCAGGCGAAATAGACGGTATTAATACGTGTCCAGTTTTAGTTCATTCATGTACATTTGTAAGAGTTTGTGGAACTTTCACCTTATAATATTTTTATTATTATTATAATAATTAAATCACGAAACAAATACTCTTACACTGTGTACAAGTTAGTACAGAATTATAGCTATAAAGTGAAGGCATACGAAAGGAATATTTTTTCTACAGTTATCCCTAGTAACAGGTGACGGGCTAGAGAAAACGTAATTCTTCCGACACTTCTACAAACCGTTTGGTAAACATCTCATATATATTTATATAAATTTTTATACTGTGGGTGCATGTATCATGTTTGTGTGTTACATAATGTGTTTCTTATATAATTTTGAAAAAAATATCATAGATAGAATAAGGGAAATGTCTATATTAACGTAATATGCGACATTAATGTGCCCAAGAGATTATTATTATTATTATTATTATTATTATTATTATTATTATTATTGCATCAAGAGTAGAGAGACTTAGTGATTTTAATGTGTACCTACATGCCAGCACAGTGTGTAAGTTTATTTAGGTACAGGTGTACACAAGTTTAATTATCAAGTACAGTACATATAAAATATACAATAACTTTAAAACACTTGAAATTTTGGAAAGTTTCCAGACATAATAAGGAGATGTGCTCAGGGAGAATGTAAACAAACTCGGTGGGCAGCTGTGACCGTATTAGAAAGACAGGTGGGGGGAGCCGTATAGCGAGTTTTGGTCATAATTTGAAATGTCCGTATTAGCAGAACGCCGTAAAGCAAACCGCCGTAAAGCGGGGCCCTGCTGTATTGTTAGGCTAAGTAAATGCTATTATTATATTTCTCTGCAATATATTTGCGCATCAAAACATTTGCGAATGCTACAGTACAGTATTATTATACACCTACCATCCGACTTACGACCGAGCTTGGTTCCGACCAACTGGTCGTAAGTCAAAATGGACGTAAGTCGACCCTTACTACTGAATATCACCATCACATTTTTGTAATGACTTTATTTTATTGTTTTATTCTGGTATTTCATTATTTTACATTACTTTTTACGCTGTTAGTACTGTGTTTTATACTGTAAGGTTTAGAATAAACACTTTGTACATCACAAACAGTTGTGTATTTCCCAGAAATTTGGCATACAAAACGCCATTGTAAATCGAGTGGTCATATGTCGAGCAGGTCGTAAGTTGGATGGTAGGTGTATTTCCCTACATCATATTTGCGCACCAAACATTCGCAGATTTTCAAGATTCGCAAGGTTCTTGACCCCCTAACCCTCGCGAATGTGGAGGGCCTCATGTAATATGATCAAGTTTAGTGCTATACCCAAAAGGGTCATACAGTACTTTGGGTTATAACAACCATATTCAAAATGATTAATATTATACCTTGCTCATTCAGTGCATTTTAATTTGTTGGATAGTAGACTTGCTGATCTTGGCTGTATATATAATTACAGTAATATCTTGATAACTCATACTGCTTTGGATACTCCTACATTCCTTAGCAATTTGAAAAAAAAATATTAAAAGTATATATTAATAAAAATTATAGTACAGTGGTACCTTGACTTACGAGTTTAATTCGTTCCGTGACCGAGCTCATGACTCGATTTGCTTGTATATCAAATCAATTTTCCTCATTGAAATTAATTGAAATACCATTAATCCATTCCAACCCCCAAAAAACCACCCCAGTTTTTTGTTACAGGATTTTAAATAAGAAATATTGTATAAAACATAATAAAAGAGAAAGTAAAGAAATAATCTGGTTTTATAAAGTGTATTTACCCTGGAGATCAGACATTTGCTTACGTCGCCAGAATTCCCGAGTCTCGCGGGGCAGGAGGAAATACACCTACCATCTGACTTACGACCGAGTTCGGTTCCGAGAAACCGGTCGTAAGTCGAAATGGACGTAAGCCGAACTTTACTACTGAATATCAACATCACATTTTTGTAATGACTTTATTGTTTTATTTTGGTATTTCATGTTTTACTTTACTTTACTTTTTATGCTGTTAGTACTGTATTTTATACTGTAAGGTTTAGGATAAACAGTGTACAACACAAATAGTTGTTTATTTCCCAGAAATTTGGCATAAAAAACACTGTCGTAAGTCGAGCGGTCGTAAGTCGAGCAGGTCGTAAGTCAGATGGTAGGTGTACTTCAATATAACGCTAATATCAACTCTAAGGCTTTTTTATCTGTCAGAATTGATCAGATGTGACATAATAAACACTATAGGTAACATAGAACATGATATATCCTCTAGAATGAATAAAATAGGCCATAATATGGCGAGTGTCCAGGACCAGTCCGAGCATATACAGTGGACCCTCGGATTTAGTCGTGCCTTTTCTGTATGCAAAACTATTTTTATTATCAATAAAATGTATTTTTTGTTAAAATTTCCCATAGGAAATAGTGTAAATCCAATTAAACCATTCCAGACACCCAAAAATATTAACAAAAAATACATTTTATAGATAAAAATAGTTTTGCATACAGAAAAGGCATGACTAAATTCGAGGGTCCACTGTAAAATCATTTCTGGTCCTTCCTGTAACATGTTCTTTGGTCCTGTGTAAGCAAAAACTGATTTTTTGAGAGGCTAACTGCACTAGATCACGGGAGGCCAGCCCACGTTTCCGGTGAATATCTTGGAAGTAAGTTATTGACTTGTTTCATGAAGCCCACCATTTATTATTGAAGTAAATGCAATAATAATGACAGGAATCATAAAAATACATGTAAATGATTGTTCTACAATTGACTTGTGGAATATTGGAAATATTCCAAATATTTTGGGATTTGTGTGGGAGTAAAGGGCAAAATATTTTTGCAGATGTCAAAAACTTAGCAACTTTTTTTTTTTTGTAGAATAACTAAAGATAATTACATGATTACCTCCAGTGAGAACATTGCATTAGCATTGTTTTATAAGTACCAAGTCTCAAAACCACCTTTCGTTGTGGCATTTAGGCCAGGGTTCTTACCAAATGTCATTTTCAGTAAATGTTTTTTTTTTTTTCAAAACCACCTTTCGTTGTGCCATTTAGGCCAGGGTTCTTACCAAATGTCATTTTCAGTAAATATTTTTTTTTTTCATTTGTTTTTTGGCAAAATAATTGCTCGCTTGTAACTCAGAAAACTCGTAAGTCAAGGTACCACTGTACTCTTATTTCTCAGGTTTACTATTCCTGAAGTTGACAGCACATGTCAGCCATAGCTCTACTATTTTCATTGTTACTTTTGTGCTTTTTGCTTTTATAATGGTATTCCAAGTTGAGTAATGTGTGTGTGCTGCTGGTCCAAAGAGAAAGCACATTAACCATTATACATTAAGTAAAAAATTCTTCTGGTACTAGAAAAGCATCATTCAGTGCAAAAGATGACTTTTTTTTCATGTTGGTATTTCAGCGATATACAAAATTAGTAAAGAATTTGAACAGATTTTTACATTATTATTATTATTTGTAGTAGTAGTGAGGAACAAAAGGGCACAATACCATAACTGGAACAATACACAAACAACCAGCACACAGGAGAGAGAAGCTTACTAAGAGTCTTTCCAGCCACTTTATACAACATACTCTTTGTTAGGTCCATTTTGGAGTAAACAGCATCAGTATGGAGCCCACACCTGAAGAAGCATGTTATGAAACTAGAAGTGCAAAAGTACACAGCAAGAGTTGTTCCTGAATTAAAGGGCATGAGCTATGAGGAGATGCTAATGGAATTGAATCTAATGACATTAAAAATAGAAGACATAGGGAAGATATGATAACATACAAAATACTCAGGGGAATTGTTAGGATAGACTAGCACAGGCTGTTTGAGAGGCAAGAACTGGGATCTCGGACAACACTGAAAGGTAAAGACACATATAAGCCACAAGGATGCCAGGAAGCATTTCTTCAGTCTCAAGGTGGTCGGAAAGTGGTATGATCTTGTTGAAGAAGTGGTGGAGGCAGGCTCCATATATAGCTTTAAGAGCAGGTATGCTAAGTCCCACAAGGCAAGTAGGTAGTGAATCTGGCAAGCGGCAAGTTGAGAGGTGGAGCTGGGAGCTAAGACTTGACACCTGCAGCCACATGTAGGCAAGTACTACCACACTCTCCCATCTCACTCTCACCACTAGCACTTCCATAACCTCTACTACTACTGTTAATTCTACCACCACCACCATTCTTCCCCCCCCCCCTCCCCCATCCCCTCCAGTCTGACTTCTGGCCTTACATGCCTTTTCTCTCCTTAGTTGTGACTTGGCTGTGGTTCAGTACAGACCAGAACATCATCATAAAGTTCCTCTCCTAAGTATGGGTTATTTGTGAAAGAAGGTCATTCAGATGTGTAGCAGTTATATAAATTTTAATTTATGCTCATTCCCAGTTCTATTAACCATTTTATGTTTTATTTATCTAATGATATATCACTAATCAGAATGCTTCCCTTTATTATTTTCCAGATGGATACAAGGTTAGACAAGTGCAACACCCCAGAGAGCCGTCAACACCAGTTCACAAAGCTAGACAAGCAGTTGCTAAGAATTTATGAAAGCGCTGCTGCCAAGGCCTTGATAATTTATATTTTCACTGGTTCATCTCTTAGTGTGCCATCTGACCAACGTTGTAATGGGTTATTCATGTATGCCATCAAGGCTCTGCCTTGTAAAAGGTAGCCAACATTCATTCTTAAACTCTGAGTAGGAAAACAGATCTTCCAAATTTCTTCAAGAGTTACCTCTCAGCTATGTACTTGAAAGTTTTCAATTAAGGCATTAAAATTGTCAAAGGATTTTTGTGCACTGTAAGTGTTCCTACTTTTACATACAAAGTAATAAATATAACTTCAGAAAAGTTAAGAGTTTTTCATTCAATCTTTCAGTGGGCAATAGAAAATAATGATGTTCAGTGATGACAAATTCCAGTTGTTCAGATAGGAAAAGAATGAAGAATTCAAAAGGGGCACTGTATTTAAAACTGGAGGAGCACCTGTTCAAGACATGAGGGATATCAGAGATAGAAAAGAGAGCATATTTACTGCCTGCATAGAGCCAGTAGAGTATTTAAACTGTCAGGAATACCTCAGAACTGGGGCTGTACTCTGGAGTAAAAGAGAGAAAGAGATATATCTGATGGTATATAGGTAGTAGGTTGGTAGACAGCAACCACCCAGGGAGGTACTACCGTCCTGCCAAGTGAATGTAAAACAAAAGCCTGTAATTGTTTTACATGATGGTAGGATTGCTGGTGTTTTTTTTTTTTTTTTTGTCTGTCTCATAAATATGCAAGATTACAGTTATGTCTTGCTACTTTTACTTACACTTAGGTCACACTACACATACATGTACAAGTTTATTTATACACACTCATCTTAACCCCTTTTCCTGTAAAGATTACTGAAAAGAATAAGAAGAAGAAAATTGTCAAAGTGGGAAGTCTGAATGTGCATGGTTGTTGTGCAAATGATAAGAAAGAGATGATTGTGGATGTTATGAATGAGAAGAAGCTGGATGTCCTGGCTTTAAGTGAAACAAAGCTGAAGGGGGTGGGAGAGTTTCAGTGGAGAGTAATAAAAGGGATTAGATCAGGGGTTTCAAATAGAGTTAGAGCTAAAGAAGGAGTAGCAATAATGTTGAAGGATAAGATATGGCAGGAAAGGAGGGACTATAAATGTATTAATTCAAGGATTATGTGGAGTAAAATAAAGGTTGGATGTGAAAAGTGGGTTATAGTAAGTGTATATGCACCTGGAGAAGAGAGAAGTGTAGAGGAGAGAGAGAGATTTTGGGAAATGTTGAGTGAATGCGTGGGGAGTTTTGAACCAAGTGTGAGAGTACTTGTGGTTGGGAATTTCAACGCTAAAGTGGGTAAAAATGTTGTGGAGGGAGTAGTAGGTAAATTTGGGGTGCCAGGGGTAAGTGTAAATGGGGAGCCTTTAATTGAGCTATGTGTAGAAAGAGATTTGGTAATAAGTAATACATATTTTATGAAAAAGAGGATAAATAAATATACAAGGTATGATGTAGCACGTAATGAAAGTAGTTTGTTAGATTATGTATTGGTGGATAAAAGGTTAATGGGTAGGCTCCAGGATGTACATGTTTATAGAGGGGCAACTGATATATTGGATCATTATTTAGTTGTAGCTACAGTTAGAGTAAGAGGTAGATGGGACAAGAGGAAGGTAGCAACAACAAGTAGGAGGGAAGTGAAAGTGTATAAACTAAGGGTGGAGGAAGTTCGGGTGAGATATAAGCGACTATTGGCAGAAAGGTGGGCTAGTGCAAAGATGAGTAGTGGGGGAGTTGAAGAGGGTTGGATGAGTTTTAAAAATGCAGTATTAGAATGTGGGGCAGAAGTTTGTGGTTATAGGAGGGTGGGGGCAGGAGGAAAGAGGAGTGATTGGTGGAATGATGAAGTAAAGGGTGTGATAAAAGAGAAAAAGTTAGCTTATGAGAGGTTTTTACAAAGCAGAAGTGTTAAAAGAAGAGCAGAGTATATGGAGAGTAAAAGAAAGGTGGTGAGAGTGCAAAAGGAGAGCAGATGATAGAGTGGGAGAGGCACTGTCAAGAAATTTTAATGAAAATAAGAAAAAATTTTGGAGTGAGTTAAACAAGTTAAGAAAGCCTAGGGAACGTATGGATTTGTCAGTTAAAAACAGAGTAGGGGAGTTAGTAGATGGGGAGAGGGAGGTATTAGGTAGATGGCGAGAATATTTTGAGGAACTTTTAAATGTTGAGGAAGAAAGGGAGGCGGTAATTTCATGCACTGGCCAGGGAGGTATACCATCTTTTAGGAGTGAAGAAGAGCAGAATGTAAGTGTGGGGAGGTACGTGAGGCATTACGTAGAATGAAAGGGGGTAAAGCAGCTGGAACTGATGGGATCATGACAGAAATGTTAAAAGCAGGGGGGATAGTGTTGGAGTGGTTGGTACTTTTGTTTAATAAATGTATGAAAGGGGAAGGTACCTAGGGATTGGCGGAGAGCATGTATAGTCCCTTTATATAAAGGGAAGGGGGACAAAAGAGATTGTAAAAATTATAGAGGAATAAGTTTATTGAGTATACCAGGAAAAGCGTACGGTAGGGTTATTATTAAAAGAATTAGAGGCAAGACAGAATGTAGGATTGCAGATGAGCAAGGAGGTTTCAGAGTGGGTAGGGGATGTGTAGATCAAGTGTTTACATTGAAGCATATATGTGAACAGTATTTAGATAAAGGTAGGAAGTTTTTATGCATTTATGGATTTAGAAAAGGCATATGATAGAGTGGATAGGGGAGCAATGTGGCAGATGTTGCAAGTATATGGAATAGGTGGTAAGTTACTAAATGCTGTAAAGAGTTTTTATGAGGATAATGAGGCTCAGGTTAGGGTGTGTAGAAGAGAGGGAGACTACTTCCCGGTAAAAGTAGGTCTTAGACGGGGATGTGTAATGTCACCATGGTTGTTTAATATATTTATAGATGGGGTTGTAAAAGAAGTAAATGCTAGGGTGTTCGGGAGAGGGGTGGGATTAAATTATGGGGAATCAAATACAAAATGGGAATTGACACAGTTACTTTTTGCTGATGATACTGTGCTTATGGGAGATTCTAAAGAAAAATTGCAGAGGTTAGTGGATGAGTTTAGGAATGTGTGTAAAGGTAGAAAGTTGAAAGTGAACATAGAAAAGAGTAAGGTGATGAGGGTGTCAAATGATTTAGATAAAGAAAAATTGGATATCAAATTGGGGAGGAGGAGTATGGAAGAAGTGAATGTTTTTCAGATACTTGGGAGTTGATGTGTCGGCGGATGGATTTATGAAGGATGAGGTTAATCATAGAATTGATGAGGGAAAAAAGGCGAGTGGTGCGTTGAGGTATATGTGGAGTCAAAAAACGTTATCTATGGAGGCAAAGAAAGGGAATGTATGAAAGTATAGTAGTACCAACACTCTATATGGTGTGAAGCTTGGGTGGTAAATGCAGCAGCAAGGAGACGGTTGGAGGCAGTGGAGATGTCCTGTTTTAAGGGCAATGTGTGGTGTAAATATTATGCAGAAAATTCGGAGTGTGGAAATTAGGAAAAGGTGTGGAGTTAATAAAAGTATTAGTCAGAGGGCAGAAGAGGGGTTGTTGAGGTGGTTTGGTCATTTAGAGAGAATGGATCAAAGTAGAATGACATGGAAAGCATATAAATCTATAGGGGAAGGAAGGCGGGGTAGGGGTCGTCCTCGAAAGGGTTGGAGAGAGGGGGTAAAGGAGGTTTTGTGGGCAAGGGGCTTTGACTTCCAGCAAGCGTACATGAGCGTGTTAGATAGGAGTGAATGGAGACGAATGGTACTTGGGACCTGACGATCTGTTGGAGTGTGAGCAGGTGTGAAGGCTTACTCAGCCCTGTAACAACTTCAGACAGTATTACCAAGGCTGGCTCCTCCTCAGGAAAATTAATGAATAGAAAAAGAACAAAAACTGACAAATATAAACACTTTATTATTTAGGAAATATGAAATATAAAACACTTAAATATGAAATACTGATCCTACATGAAAGAGAATGAAAAATTAAAAATATAAATGATATCTGAATTCAACGCTAAAAACTTGGGTGTCTGGTGTTGGTGACACTGCATATTGTTGCAATAGAAGCCGTTGCTGATGATGGGGGGGGGGTCGCAGTTGTTGGTGACAACCTACTGGCTCGTTCTAGTGGCCGTAAGTAATCTTTCCAGATGACAGGAGATCAGGTTCTTGACCGCTGTAATGATGAGGGGTTATGTCCTGATTCTTCATTCAATTGCACAGGCAAGTAAATCCAGGACGTTAGTCCGTCTCCATCAGTTTTACTCGTTGAGTGACAGGTGACCCTCTCTGTCATCCAAGCTGGAAAGATAGGTTACCCACTGCTTAAGAAATCACTCTCCATGATAAGTACAATACCTAAAAGACGTGGTGATTATTACAACAGTCAACCTAGAGCAA